CCCAGGCAGCTCAGCAGCAAATGACCTTGTCTGGGGCCATGTGAGCAAAGACAGCAGTGCAGGTGATGGGAGCAGCCACATGTCAGGCAGAAGCAGCATTCATTACTTAACTCTGATGCTGTGACTTTGTGTTTTATTTGCCAGAGATTAAAGATTCATTCCAAACTGCAAAATAAATAAATAAAATAAAACCCAACAAAGTTTGCAGAAATATATGGATGGGTCAAAAAAAAAAAAAAAAAAAAGAAGACAACTAGAGTGTAGGTCCCAGAGATGAGGCAGAAAAGGAAAAAATTGAGTAACAGTGTTTGCTTCAGGAGAAATCTTTGGCATCTGGGACAGTGATGGAATCAGCAATCCTTCCTGCTAAGAACTCTGCAGCACAGTGAAAATCTCTTTTTTCCTGTAATCTGGAATGTGTTTCTAGTCCCCAAACATATCAGAGTCCAAAAAATTCAAGGAACTTTTCTTTGGCTTAGCTCTATTCTACCTCATTTTAGCCTTACTCTCTGGCCATTCTTCAGTGTCCTTTGTGGGCTTAATCTGGATGCTCCTTAATATTTTCCTACTTTGCACTGGCTCCCTGGGTAATACCAGTCATTTCCATGGCTTCACTTACCACCTATATACTCACAACACTGAAATCCTCACATCTGAACTACCTGTCTCCTGTGCAGACAGACCCTCTCTATTTTAATTTTGTATAAGGCTGGGTGTGGTGGCTCTCACCTGTAATCCTAGCACTCTGGGAGGCTGAGGTGGGTGGATTGCCCTGAGTTCACAGGTTCAAGACCAGCCTGAACAAGAGTGAGACCCCATCTCTAAAAATAGCCAGGCATTGTGGAGAGCACCTGTAGCCCCAGCTACTCAGGAGGCTGAGGCAAGAGAATTACTTAAGCCCAAGAGTTTGAGGTTGCTGTGAGCTATGATGCCATGGCACTCTACAGAAGGTAACAAAGTGAGACTCTGTCTGAAAAAAAAAAATTAATAAATTTTGTATAAACGTCAAATTTAACATATCCAAACCATTCTCTTCTAGCTTTTGTTTCTTTTTTACTTATAATGTCAGTGATTACATCTTCTGTTAACTAAGCCAGCAATCTCTCTCTCCAACTCCATTTAGACATCACTTCCAGTCTCCTACATGTGGTGCCTCCTCAGCATCCCCCGTACTAGACTACGTAAGCATCACAAGATGATCTGGTTATACATACTGCTTCCTGCACAACCCCTAGCACTTAATAGGTATTAATTATGTATGAACAGGAATATATTTTTCTGTCCAATGCTTAGCACTGTTGAATGACATCTCTTCTGGAAACTAGGAATATACTAACTTATGGCCTGCCTGGAGGATCTATCCATAATAAGCTGAGTAAATCTTGAGAAGGTAATTGCTTTTGTTGAGGGGGGCCACAAGGCATCTCTTTGTCCCCTATGGTGCTTTCATTTCAGCTACTCATTATCTACTCAAGGCTATGGGGCCAGTTGGAGACTTAGAATAATGGAGGAAAAAGAAGATATATACATATATATATTATATATGTAGTTTTTTGTTGCAGTTTGACCGGGGCCAGGTTTGAACCCGCCACCCTTGGTGTATGGGGTCGGCACTCTACGCACTGAGCCACAGGTGCCGATATATTTTTAAATAATACCTGGATCTAGAATCATATGCTACCTGTACTGGTGAGCAGAGTGAGTGGGTAGGTAGCCACCAGAATCTCCAAGTGCATATGAGGGGCCATCATTATACAGTGCTCTGGAGCCAGTCTACCCTGAAGGGAACTTACAACCATCCTTAGGAGTCTAGGCCATGTTTTAGCCAATAGGCCTAATTCATTAACCTACCATGTAGCAAAATTCCTTTGTGAGGGGAGAAGTGAATTGCCAAAGTGGATCTGCCCTAAAATGGAAGCAAGCAGCAAACTCAGGTAATCTCATTAGCCAGGGCTGTTTATGGGGATAGGTTAATTCCCAAGACAGTGTCATGAAAGAGCAGTAGGCAGTAAGGGAGACAGCTATTCATGAAGGGAAGAACTGAGAGAAATTAGAAACAATGGCTTTGCATTATACTTTACAAAAGTGTCTCAGAATCTAGAGTTATACCAAATACCACAGAGAGGACAAGGAAACTGACGCCTACTAAGCTGAATGTATGAGGACTCCCACCAGGACTCAAATCAGTGGGTAATGTGATCTCAGATTTCTTAGGCTCCAAACTGTGAGAGATGTATTTTAAGCCACTAAATCTGTTTGTTTTTTTTTAGAGACAGAGTCTCAACCTTGACACCCTCGATAGAGTGCTGTTGTGTCACAGCGCACAGCAACCTCCAGCTCTTGGGCTTAGGTGATTCTCTTGCCTCAGCCCCCAAGTAGCTGGGACTACAGGTGCCCGCCACAACACCTGGCTATTTTTTGTTGTTGTTGCAGTTTGGCCAGGACTGGGTTCAAACTCACCACCCTTGGCATATGGGGCCTGCGCACTACTCACTGAAAAACTGTGTGTTTTTGTTTAACAGCAGCTCCAGCTAAGATAGCATTGTTATAAGCACTTTACATTTGTTAACTCATTGAATGCTCTTTTACAGGGAAAAAAAAAATCCAAGCCACAGAAAGGTGTAAGTAGTTTAAGTCACAGATAAGTGTAGTACCATGATTCAAACCAATTAGTTCCAAAAGACTCACTCAACTTGAGTATGATCTATCACCTCTCTTAATACAACAGTATAAGCATTCAATCCCAGAAATGGGGGGGGGGGGATTACTGACTAGGAAACACAAATATAAATTAACAGGTTTATATTTATTTATTTTTGGGCCAGTTTCAGTATGTCACCCTCAGGGTAGAGTGCTGGGGCATCATAGCTCACAGCAACCCCCAACTCTTGGGCTTAAGGGATTCTCTTGCCTCAGCCTCCCAAGTAGCTAGGACTATAGGCGCCTGCCAACAGGTCTATAGTCATGTCTATATTACTGGTTGAAAAATTAACTTTCAGGCGGCGCCTATGGCTCAAGGAGTAGGGCGCTGGCCCCATATGTCGGAGGTGGTGGGTTCAAACCCAGCCCCAGCCAAAAACCGCAAAAAAAAAAAAAAAAAAAAAGTAACTATCAATGATTATATACTACCACCAAGACAGAAAAATTCCATTTTTTTTTTTGAACTGGGCAAGTTGAAAGGACATAACAATCAAAAGCCAAACAGGGCTTGGTGTCCATAGCTCCGTGGTTAAGGGTGCCAGCCACATGCACCTGGGGTGACAGGTTCGAGCCTGACCCAGGCCTGCTAAACAATTGCAACAAAAAATAGCCAGGCATTGTGGCAGGCACCTGTAGTCCCAGCTACTTGGGAGGCTGAGGCTAGAGAATTGCTTAAGCCCAGGAGTTGGAAGTTGCTGTGACAATGTAACACTCTACCTTGAGGGTGACACAGTGACACTGTGTGTCAAAACAAACAAAGCCAAATGGTATTTTATAAGAGAATATCCAAGTGTAATCATATGCAAATTAGAAACAGTATAGCATCTTTTATTCACTTGAGTATACTGTATAAAACGTGTTGTTTTTTTTTCTTTTTGAGACAGTCTCACTTTATTGCCCTAAGTAGAGTGCCGTAGCATCATAGCTCTCAGCAACCTCTAACTTTTGGGCTCAAGTGGTTCTTTTGCCTCAGCCTCCTAGTAGAAATGAGGTCTCGCTCTGGCTCAAGCTGAGCTCAAAACTGTTAGGCAATCCACCCTCCTCAGCCTCCTAGAGTGCTAGGATTATAGGAGTGAGCCACCGCACCTGGCCTTTTTTTTTTTTTTTTGAGGAGTCTCTCTCTATTGCCCAGGCTAGGGTGCAACCTCAAACTTCAGGTTCAAGTGATCCTCCTGCCTCAGCCTCCCCTGTAGCTAGACTACAGGCACTTGCCTTGGCTAATTTTTCTATTCTTAGTAGACCTGGGGCCTCTCTCTTGCTCGGGATGGTCTCGATCTCTTGAGCTCAGGCAATCCACCCACCTTAGCCTCCCAAAAGGATTAGGATTATAGGGTTGCGCCACTATGCCCAGCCATAGTAGATTGTAGTACATCACTTAAGACCAGATATACTTTGTATGTCACCTAAACAAGCAAAACAGCAGTTACTTTCAAATATTTAAAAGTTATGTCTAAAATAACTGTTCTATTTTCAGCAAAAATGCTTCATCTCAGCCATATATGAAAAGCTACTCAAAAGCCATCTAGCACCACAGACTTTGAAACTTAATGTTTAATTATGTCAGAGAAAATGGAGCAAACTTTGTAAGTCCTCTACCTTAAAAACATTTTCTCTGGCAGAGCTTGGTGGCTCACACCTGTAATCCCAGCACTTTGGGAGGTCTGCTTGAGCCTAGGAGTTTGACAGCATGGGTAACATATGAAGACCCTGTCTCTACAAAATACTTAAAATTGGCCAGGTATAGCCAACTGAGCTAAGGTATCACTACACTGCACTCTGGTCTCAAAAAAATTTCCTACATTCTAACACCCTATAGGCTTACTGATGCATTAGCAAATATGACAGTAAAAATCAGCAGACCTAGCCAGTGTTTTACAATAAACATGAGTACATTATCTAAAATCAGGTCACAAAAAATAAACTCCACTTTTTAATGAAAACCTAACAGATACTTAGGTGGTTTATTTTCTGTATGCTTCTGTGTTTTCAAATATTTTATAACAGGCTTAGCGCCTGTGGCTCAAGGGACTAAGGCGCCAAGCCACATACACAAGAGCTGGCGGGTTTAAATCCAGTCCGGGCCTGCCAAACAACGACTGGTGCCTATAGTCCCAGCAACTTGGGAGGCGGAGGCAGAAGAATCGCTTGAGCCCAGGAGTTGGCGGTTGTGGTGAGCTGTCATGCCATGGCACTCTACCCAGGGCAACAGATTGAGGCTCTGTCTCAAAAAAAAAAAAAAAAAGAAGAAAAGTGACAGATGATAAGCACATACCCAACCAAACCAAAACAAAAACTAATGAAGTTACAATAAAAATCTTTATTTAGGTTTGGTCAGTACAGATAAGATATACTGGAGTCACAGAGCAATATGCATTAACAGGATACAACAGTTCATAAAAACTGAGTAACTATGCACACAAATTTCTTAAAACATTCAGTCACCTAAAGAGAAAATGCACAGATGTATGGTGGAAAAACTGTATCTAACACTGAAACTACTATAGGACTCCATCAACAAGTCCAACTTTTAGTGATAAAAAACTACTGTACTGGGCAAACTTGGCAGTCATAAACCCACATCTATTCTAACAAGTCTGAATGGTGCAGAAGTATAATAACAGCTTGAGTAAGAATGCCCTTACACAGCACAGGTTCTAGATAGACATAGATTTATACAGACATCATTGTGTTATATTTAAGGAAAGATTTCCATTTACAACTTCACATTAACTCATATAAAAATAACGTGACCCTACACAAAATGTCCTTTTAGCAACATTTGAAGTAATTAACTGTTATAATTTCCAAAGTGGCAGAGGTATGAAGCAAAAAAAAAAAAAAAAAAAAAAAAGGCAACCAACCAACCAAACAAACAAAAACACACACCCACGAAAAGGCAAATTTTGACAAAGTATGCATTAATTTTTTGGACAGTATCCTCTCCCAAATTAAATGACACTGTATAAAAATTTGCTGGAAAAATATTACAAAACTGAACCCTGTACATTTACACTCGAGTCCAAGCCATTTTGAACGTGGCGGGAACCCACAGTTCGGTTACCTTTCCCACTCACTGCTTTCTCCTCTTGAGGGTCATGATTGGAGTCTGTGTCATTTGAATGGTGTGTGAGAGAGTTTTCACTGCCCGTGGGAGAGTCTACACTTTCATACCCCGCACTGAGTTGGTTTACGTAACTACTACCTCCTCTGCCAGTTCTCTCCTCTGAGCTGTTGGAGGCCTTATTACCATTCCCTGGAGAAGAAGGAAAGTCATCTTCAGTTGTGTTCCCCTCCCTGTGAAATCCAGACCCAGACGTCCTCTGACGGGAGGAGCTACCATTACTTGGTCCGTTTGCCAGCCGACTGCAGTCTTTACTTGTGGCCTCTGCATGTTCTATAGGTTCAGAAGTAGTCCTGCTGGTACTCGGGGCCGAGGATTGAGACTGCTGTTGGTACTGAGCCAACTGCTGGCGAGTCTCCTTCAGTTGCTGCTGAAGAACTAGAATGGTACTCTGCATACCTTCTACTTCTTCGTCAAGTTGAATGATGAAGTCATTCAGTTCTGTGCAAAGGAGAGTCAAACCTACTTTAATATGTTGTAACACTGAAAAATATTAAGTGCCTGCTTCAAGGCAAGGCAGTCAATGAATGGTTACTAAGTAAACAAATATATTCCTAAAATCACAATATATTTTTAAAATTTTGCTTGAATTTTAAAATAGCCATTCAAGAAAAGCATTTGTGGGGAAGTTGGATGCTTAAAATGGTATGTATACCCATGGATCCCATACCTATGAATTCAACCATGCAGACTGAAAAAAACTGTATCTGTACTGAACATTTATGGTTTTTTCTTGTCGTTATTCCCTATACAATGTAGTTTAATAATTTTCACAGCATTAACATTGTTTTAGGTATTCTAAGTAATCTAGAGATGGTTTAAGCATAAAGATGTGCAAATACTGCATCATTGTATTATCAGGGACTCAAGCATCTGTGGATTTTGTTGACTGTGGGACATCCTAGAATCATCCTCCCAAGGAACGACTGTATTAAAGCAACCAAGTTAAAATTGATTAAAACCATCTTACTACACACAACTGATTACAGCCCCCAAATCTGACCATGTTTACCCATGGACCTGCCATGACCAGGGTCCTAATTTGTCACCCACCTAGCGAGTGCCTTAGCTCCACATTAGGTCTGGACTTTGTGCACACAGTGTGGTCCTCTAACACTTCAAAGAGTCCTACCATCTAACCAAGGACTATTCCACATACAAGGACAAAAGTTACAGAAAACCATCCTTCACTGCCATGTAAAATCGCTTGGCTACTGTTCTTTATAATTAACCATCAGACATACTTTCAATTTGTATTTCCACAGTTTGGATATTTTCCTGTTAACATTCCTCACAAAAAGGAACCAGCACAGATGCAGCTATACTTGTACCAAAAAGGATGGAGGCTGACAATTAAGTTTTGTCTTAGCAAACTTTTTATGAGACAGGGTCTCACTGTCACCCAGGCAAGAGTGCAGTGGCATCATCATGTATGACTCACTGCAATCTCAAACTCCTGGGCTCAAGTGATCCTCCTGTCTCAGCATCCCAAGGCTTGTGTCACCACACCCAGCTAATTTTTATATTTTTTGCAGAGACGGGATCTCACTATGTTGCTCAAGCTGGTCTCCAACTTCTGGGCACAAGTGACCCTCCAGCCTCAACCTCCCAAAGTGCTAAGGTAACAGGTATCAGCCACTGTGCCCAGCCTGTCTTAGCAAATTTAAATATTGTATCTGTCATTCACTAAAAGGATCTTAATAGGTATAATCAATTATATTATTTCCTAACCGCTGGAAATTGCCAAATGTTTCCCAGACTTAACACTTAAAAGAAATAGTTATAGTCCCTCTTTCAAACACTGAAATGTATACTCCTTAGTAATACAACATCCTTAAGATGGCTTTGTTTACTGACTCAACCAGGAATGTTTCACTTCTAATTTTACACAATCATAGGCAGAGATTAGCACGTACAGAATCTAACCTATAATGTTCATGCCTGGCAGTTTTTTCAAGCCAATGCAAAGCTGAGTAAACTTTTCAAAACAAAAACAAAAACCCCTTACCATCCTGACTGCTTTTAAGCTCCTCACTATATTTCTTCTGTAAAGCCAACTCTGCTTCAAGTTGTGCAATACGTCCCTGGGACAGCTGCCTTCCAAGTTCTTGATTCTCCTGGATGAGCATTCGACACTTCGCCATTAACTTTTTCCCTGTTTGGCTGCAAAGGAAAGAGCCATCCATCACTAAAGGAAGATAAAACTGTATATAGCCTTCTTTGCTTACGATTGTTACAGTGATAGATTTAACACATACAGAACACAACTACGTCACAGCAGATGCTGCCCTGAAATTACCATCTTCTTTTCTGGAACACATCCATCTTCTGCATTTCAGTATTTTGCCAATACAGCAGCAAAAATAAATCCTCAAAGTACCCAAATGGCCACTTTTGTTTCTATTAAATCAACAATCAATTCTGAAATCTAACTATTTTAATCCTAAATTATCATGTGAAACAAAAACAGGCCTGATAATTAACATACCAATATTATCACAACATAAAGGTACTTAGTGCTCAATCAAATAGATTTCTTCAAAAGGTACATGTAACATCAATCACAAATGTATGCTTCTCTAAAATATCTAACGCATGAAATCAGCATCTGCAAATACAGTTTTCATCTCTCTCAAGAATATATTACAGTAAGTGAGGCATGTTTAGTAATTTTTAAAAGTCTTAAGACTTTCTACTCATCAATTCTTTATTTAACTTTCTTTTTTTTTTTTTGGAGACAGAATCTCAAGCTGTCATCCTGGGTAGAGAGAGTGTCATAGCGACATAGCTTGCAGCAATGTCAAACTCTTGGGCTAAAGTGATTCTCTTGCCTCAGCCTCCCAAGTAGCTGGGAGTACAAGTGCCCGCCACAAAACCTGGCTATTTTTTGGTTGTAGTTGTCGCTGTTGTTTTAACTCGCCTTGGCCGGGTTCAAACCCATTAGCACCAGTGTATATGCCAGCACCCTAACCACTGAGTATGGGCACTGCCCTCATTTAACTTTTTCCTTTTTTTTTAAAAAAGCATGTATATAAGAGACAGAGTGTCACTTTATTGCCCTCAGTAGAGTGCCATGGCGTCACAGTTACGGAAACCTCCAACTCCTAGGCTTAGGCGATTCTCTTGCCTTAGCCTTTTGAGTAGCTGCACTACAGGTGCCCGCCAGAATGCCCGGTTATTTTTTTGATGCTGTCTGCCTGGGGGTGGGCTTGAACACACCACCCTTGGTATATAAGGCTGGCACCCTACCCACTGAACCACAAGCACTGCCCTATATACATGCTTTTGAGCTATGAAACTAGGGCATAAGTTTTTTTTTTTTTTTTTTTTTTTGAGACAGAGCCTCAAGCTGTCACCCTGGGTAGAGGGCTGCGGCATCACAGCTCACAGCAACCTTCAACTCCTGGGCTTAAGCGATTATCTTGCCTCAGCCTCCCAAGTAGCTGGGACTGCAGGCGCCCACCACAATGCCCAGCTATTTTTTTTTTTTTTGTTGCAGCTATCATTGTTGTTTGGCGGGCCTGGGCTGGATTGAAACCTGCCAGCTCAGGTGTATGTGGCCAGCGCCCCCAGCCGCTTGAGCCACAGGCGCGCGGAGCCTAGGTTTTGTAAACAATGATACGTAGTTTTTAGTGGCCAGTATGCTGGCTCATGACTGTAATCCCAGCACTCTGGGAGGCTGAGGTGAGAAGCATTTTAAAAGTAATTATTCCTTTTTCTTCTTTTTGAGACAGAACTTCACTTTATTGCCCTGGGTAGAATGCTGTAGCCTCACAGCTCACAGCAACCTCAAGTAGCTGGGACTACAGGTACCTGCTACACACCCAGCTAGTTTTAGGGACAGAGTGTCTCACTCTTGCTCAGGCTGGTTTCAAACCTGTGAACTCAGGCAATCCACCCGCCTCAGCCTCCCAGAGGGCTAGGATTACAGGTGTGAGCCACCATACCTAACCCAAAATAAGGTTCTTTTACCTGCAGCATATATTCTAACTTAATATAATTCAATACAAGTTTGTAAATGAGTTTTCTGTCTTTTTTTTTAACTGGACTCACTTCAGATTAATAGGTTTATTGGAAATAGCCTCTTGGCATAAGTAAGTTTTCAGAAATCTATAGAACAGTAAAAGTTGGGTTACTACTGTTTAAAGGAGCCCAAAATGAAAGCCATGAGCAACCAGGAAGAAAGGGTTTTATTCTTTCACGTAGTAACTCTGTTAGCTGGTAAGGTTCTTGTTCATTGCTACCTCCGCTCAGATATCCATTTTCATTACCATCCTCAGGCTTTAGCTTCTACTAAACACACACTTAGAAATCCAACAATGAGATAGTAAAAGATAGACATGATTGTCCAAACAGTGGAATGCTTTCCACTTCATTATGTTCCCACAACTTCATTTTCTTGTGAAGTATATAAAATCAGTGTTTCTAACTACCTAAAAATTCTTTTATGTGAATTAACAGAAAAAATGGACAACTGTAAAATGCATTAATTTGTGACCTGACTTAACCCCATATAAGAATGTCACCAATTCTCAAGCAGTAAAGTTCCATTTAGAAAGTCGTATCATGGCTCGGCGCCTATAGCTCAACTGGCTAAGGCGCCAGCCACGTACACCTAAGGTGGCGGGTTCGAATCCCCAGCCTGGACCCGCCAAACAACAA